TAAAAATAAGTTTTAATTGAGTAGTGACTGGGAGATTTCCTCAACGTCTAGTAAATGCTGCTCTGCAGTATGGGGTACATCATTTTATCAGATAATTTGATTTTGCTAACAGAGCCATCTCTGGAAAGCTTTATTTAGTTTACTCTTAACTGATGTTTTTGATGCAAAACAAAAACCAAGAAAAAATTTGAAACAGCTGTCAGTACTTACAGGTCCAACATCCCACACTTGATAGGTTACCCAGATTAGACACACATATATACACACACACATACACACACAGTCTTGCTAGAATTTGTATTTATTTCTGCCTCTTCTGCCAGTACCTGCCATCCATTGGAATACTTTATGTCTGGAGGTTCTTGGTTTGTCAGCAGCTTTGCTATTGAATGAAGAAAAGGACATAAATAAGGAAGGACATGACTCCTAGGTATGGTGGAGGAGATGGTTTACTGTAGATATGAGGGAGAGCACAACCAGAGGCAGAGACATCTGGGAGCCTCCAGAGTCTTCATATTGTATTGTCCAGGCTGATCTTGAACACCTGCCCTCAGGTGACCGTCCTGCCTTAGCCTCCTTAGAGGCTGTAACTATAGGCCCTGCTTTGGCGTGTTTGCTATTAAAGAACAGTGTTGTTGGGAGGGTCTCTGCAGTGTTTTTCATTCCTTGTTTCTTTTTTTTTTTTTTTTTTTTTGGTTTTTCGAGACAGGGTTTCTCTGTGGCTTTGGAGCCTGTCCTGGAACTAGCTCTGTAGACCAGGCTGGTCTCGAACTCACAGAGATCCGCCTGCCTCTGCCTCCCTGGGATTAAAGGCGTGCGCCACCACCGCCCGGCTCATTCCTTATTTCTTTTGGGCTAATCTTTTTACTCTGCTGTCCTTGCAGTGGGGCATTGCAGATCTTTGCGGATCTTATGCTGTTAGTTTGTTCATCACTGGTCCCACTGTGCATCGATCGCTTCATTACTTGAATATTGGTTTCTAGATGATTGCCCTGAGTATTGTAAGAATCTTGGGATTGTGGATTTCTAAGAAAAAGCAAACAAACAAAATAACTATTGTGTCTAACATTTATTTACAGAGAGAGGGAAGGGGGAGGGAGAGGGAAGCTGAGTTTGCACTCTGGGTGAATGAACATAGGTGTCCAAGAGCCAACAGTTTGTAGAATCTTAACTTACTAAAGGCATCTTCTGTTTTAGATTTTAAATGTGTAATTTTTATATTATGAAATACGAGATTTTTTTAGTAAATAACTAGGCTTAGGATATACCTGATGTCAAATTAACTTTATTACTTTCTGACAGTAGTATTAACAACCACATACATTTATTAAAATATTTTAAGCAGCTTCTCTCTCAGCAGGGGAACAACAATTAATAAATCAACGAAATGAGCTTTCTTACTCATCTAGCACAGATTGGTATTTGAACTGAACAAACGACTATTTGCAAGATTGAGACATAGTTAGGAGCATACTGGCAGACATACACAGTGAGTCACGCCATCTGGTTACAGTCATACCTGGGTGGTGGTCATTAAAACAACTCCTGGGGATCTGTATATGACTTAATTATACTGCAGAAACATTGGGTTGTACTGGCAGGTTACTTTGGAACTTAAGGCCAATTAACTGGCGGACATGCTTTCAAAACATCAATGTTACACTTACGAAATGAGTATAAAAATGTTGGCCCAAATTTGGAGACTTAAAAATGTGTGTTTTTAGAGTTCGGGGTGGGCATTGCTATTAATACTGGCTCTGAAAAAATGATGTTTTTTTTACCCAATACTTTCATCAAATAGTATGAGTCATAAGCTGTTTAGTACTGACTGTATTCATCTGATGACTAGCAGGAGAAGTGGCATCAGCTGCCAGGAGTACATGTTAAGAATATGTCAATTTTGATCCATTTCTTCCCCTCCCCTCCCCTTCCCTCCTCTCCCCTCCCCTCCCCTCCCCTCCCCTCCCCTTCCCTCCCTCCCTCCCTCCCTCTCTTTCTCTCTTTCTTTCTTTCTTTTTCCTTTTTGGGGCAGGCTTTCTCTGTGTAGGAACTCACTCTGTAGACCAGGCTGGCCTCGGACTCACAGACATCCACCTGCCTCTGCCTCCCAAGTGCTGGGATCAAAGGCCTGCACCACCACTGCCCAGACCAGGATTCTGTTTTAAAGAGATTTGGTAGGTAGAGAAGACAGGCTGCTAGCTGGGCATGGTGGTGCACACCTGTCATCCCAGCACTTGGGAAATGGAGGCAGAAGAATCGGGGAGTTAAAGCCAGCAGGCTACAGACTGAGGTGTAGATGGAGTTGGGCGTTGTGTGACCCTGTCTCAGGGAAAACATTGCCCACAACATTGTAACTTCTTCAGATATCTAGCTATGAACCACCCCATCCCCAACACTGTTATTTTGTTTGTTTTTTTCTTGTAACTGCCAACTACCACACTCTAAACTAGTAGGCTTTTTTGCTGCCCCTGGCTAGGGTCCTTGGTTCTTTGGGAGAATAGCATGAGGATGGAACCAGGCTTTCTGATTGCTCACTTTATGTATGGTTAAGCCAGACTTGCCTGCAGAAGCTGGCCCCTTTCCATTTTTATTTCGCCGTATTACATAAGTAGATAAGTTTGGGGGCAAAATATCTCACTTGTGTCCTTTACTAAAGGTCAAGTAGCAAGTGTATGTATGTTTTTATCTTATTAAAAAGTAACGGGCCTGTCCTGATGTTCTCTTTCCACTGTTTTTGGAAACTACGTATTCCATACTTAATAATCACTGTTGACTGTTGTTCATACTAGTCATTCTGTGATTGATCCGAATTTTTACTTTGATAATATTTAATTGTTGGAAATACGAAATGCTTTCTCAAGTTTTATTAATGCTAAAACCTTTACATGTGTCCCCCTTTACTCTTACAGATTGACCTTGTATATTTAGATTTGCCTGTCGGTTGGGGCCTGTGTTTATTCCTTTGCATCTCAAAAACTTTGTATAGTTTCCTTCCTTCCTTCCTTTCTTCCTTCCTTCCTTCCTTCCTATCCCCACCTTTCTTTCTTTTTCTTTTTTCCTTTTACTCCCACTCAGAGTTTCTCTGTGTAGCCCCTTTTTGTCCTGGAACTTGCTCTTGTAGACCAGGTTGGCCTCGAACTCGTAAGAGATCTGCCTGCCTCTGGCCCCCAAGTCCTGGGATTAAAGGCATGAGACATCAATACTCAGCCTATAGTTTTGCTTTTTAAATTGTGTATGATGTAAGAAGTTTCTTTACTTAAAAGTCTCTTGGGTAACATTTTTTTTTTTTTAAGTCTGTAATTACTGCCATTTTTCTCTTTGCTTTTCTGGATCACAACATTTATTTCATTTCCACATGAAGATAATATTCTCATTTCCTATGGAAAGTGGTTTTAATTTAATTTAAAATCATTAAAATTTTGACTGTTTCTAACTGTAGATTTTATTTTCTATAGTTCTATTAAAGTAATTTATTGGATCTGAAAAATCCCAGCCATTATCTCTTCAGATTTATCTTCTTCATTCCTTCAGCTCTGTAGCTGTAGAACTGGTTTTAGATGTCCGTTAGGCTTCTTAGTTATAGTTTTCCTCTGTCTTTATGTTACCTTCTGTCTTCTACTTCATTAATTTTATGTTCAGGTATGTTTATTTTTTATTTTTTTGAGACGGAGGTTTCATTATGTAGTCTAGGCTATTGTGGAACTTCCTAAGTAGACCAGGCTGGTCTCAAATTTTTAGAGATCCATCTGCTTCCGCCTCCTGAGTGCTGGGATTAAAGGCATGCACCACCACGCCCCGGCCTTTGTTCAGTTATGTTTAATCTGCTTTTTAAACTGGCTTGTTGAAAATTTAACCTTCACGTTTCTAAGTTTTCACGTCAGAAAATTGGAGTTTGAAAGGTGTCCCATCTCCCTCCTTGACCTTTCCCCACTCCTGGAGAGATAGCTAGAAGAATGTGCTATTCTTGCAGAGGGCCTGAGTTTGGTTTCCAGCCCATTACACTGGCCTGCAGCTCCAGCTCTAGGGATTCCTATGCCCTATTCTGGCCTCTGGCACCTGCACTGGCATCTACATACCTTCCAGGCACACACATACACACATTATTACAAATAAAATTAAACAATGAAACCGAAAGAGTGTCTTGTCTGACTGTCATACTGTTAGAAATACTAAATACCTGTGTAGGTGCTTTATAAGTATTTTATTTTACATTATGAACTTATATTTTTCTGGCCAGTTGCTTTGCATAATATAGTTCATTCTTAGTTATTTGTTGCTGATACTGTTTTTTATTCTTTAAAATTTTTACCATTTATTTTGGGTATGTGTGTAGGTGTGTGTGTGCTGCACATGTGTGGAGGTCAGAGGTCATGTGTGTGTCTGGGAGTCAGCTGTTTTCATGATGTGAGTTCCAGGGGTTGAGCTCTGGTCACCAGGGTCCTGCCCTGCTGAGTCAGCTCACAGCCGCATATTTTTAACCTTAAAAATCCCCTGCCCAATGCTTACTTCCTCTCACTTTGCTACTTTGCCTCTCCTTATTTCAGAAAAGCCTTTACTTTTCTATCTTCCTTGTAAAAATCTTTTAAAAAGAGTTTATCTGGGCCAGCTACATAGAACAGTGGGTAGAGATGCTTGCTGCCAGGCCTGATGACCTGAGTTCCGTCTTAGGACCTGCACCAAAATGTTGGAGGAGAGAACTGCCTACTGCAGATTGTCTTCTGACCTCCACACATGCTGCTCTGTGGGGACAGCATGTGCACCTGCTCACGATATATATAATTTTTAATAAAAATCAAAACTAAGTGTAACTCAAAGGCATGTTGTGGCTGTTTGAATGCTAATGCTGTGTAGTCTAATTAAATTTGCTTTGTATGTTAAGCAATAGTTTAATATTAAATCTGTTTATGGAATGAAAATACTTAGAAGTTTAAGTATACTAAAATGTTTTGAATAATTTAAAAATAAGCAGTAGTAATTTTGTAAAATATTTTATCTTTTAGGAGAGGATTAAATCCACCTCACAGGGTGAAATCTATCTCCATGACAACATTTACACAACAGGAAATTGAATTCCTGCAAAAACATGGAAATGAAGTAAGTATTTTGCAATTTTTAACTTGGTTGCGGTCATTTTAATATGATTTAATAAGTTGCTTAAAATAATGTATCCTTGTCTCCGTGTTATTTTTGTAGTCTGTATTTAGATATTTCAGAAAGTTCCTATTTGATAATGTGTTTGGAATTAATGCCTGAGTGTTTTACATAAACCTAGGTACTTAAAACTTTACTTAGAGGTAAGACATGGGTATTTGAGACTTAGCAGTGTTGGCTGTAGAAGGCAGTTTGAGGGGAAGGAGAGAAGGAGAAGTGCCAGCTCTGTCATGCTGCACTAGTTACGTGATGAGCTCTCAAGACCTTTTCCATCCTTTCTAACTAACATCTTAATTAGGTGTTTGTTATGTCTCCTGCTTAGCTAGGTTGTGAAGGGCAGCATAGTGTCCTAGGGAACTGGTTCCTGTGACCTCTAATGGGCTCTCAGTAATGCCATGCTGTTGGCTTATTTCTTTTTAGATCTGAGTTTTGTTACTAATAAAAGTAGTGATCTATTGTTGTAAAACGGGTGAAGTTAATAGAGCATGGAATTGCTTTGTTTTGTTTTTGAGGGAAGGTATCAAGACAGGGTCTCGCTATCTGTCTAGCTCTGTCTGTCCTGAACTCTCTCTGTAAACCTGGCTGGCTTTGAACTCACAGACATCCACCTTCTCTGCCTCAGGGACCAGAAGTGTGAACCACTATGCCTGGAGGGAATGCTTTTTAAATCTTGGTAAGGTTGAGTGGGTCTGGCGTACCATTCTGGTTGCGTGTCTGTAATCTTAGACACAAAAGACACAAAAGAGGTTGAGTATTAAGATTTTATTGGTTTTAGTCACCTCTTAGTTCATTCTTAGAAAAATGTATGCAAGAGTATTCTCTTTCTTCTCAAATGCTTTAGAATGATTACTTGAAATTTTTTACCTAATCAGCCAAGCATTGTGTTGTTCAGACGTAAACCCAGCACTCAGAGATAGAGGCAAGAGGATCCGAAACTTAAGGTTACCATTGGATGCATACCAAATTCTGGACCAGCCTAGTCTGCATGAGATCCCTGTCTAAAACCAAAATGGAATAGAATTATTTGCCTACTGTGATACACATGTAGTTTTGTTTCTAAAATGTTGAAGAGTGAATTCACAGTTGTGAACTATTCTAAAATACATATTTAGAGAAGAGACTACACTTTAAAGTTTCTCAGTTTGGCCAGTGATGAAATATTTTGAGTTAGTAGATGATTTGAGTACTATATAGGAAACTACAAAGCTGGATGATAGGGCTCACCAGTTAAGAGCACATACCGCTCTTACAGGGACTTGTGTTCAGTTCCTGTCACCCAAGACAGGTAGTTCACGACTGCCTAGAACTCTAGCTCCAGAAGATGAGGTGCCTTCTTCTGATCACCAGGGCACTGTGCTCTATCTGTCTTGTCAGTTTGCCTGATTATCCCCACCCCTCCATCTTTTTAAAAAAGGTGACGTACTTAAACACATATATTTAGGCTTAAAATGGCAGTGTCATACATTTTGAACATGAATGAATTTATGTTTGGAGATGAGTGATTCTGAATCAGGAGATCAGAAAGTATATTGTTTTTTTGTAATGTTCCTACGTCCTCTCCCTCTGATCACCATGCTTGACTTGAGTTTCAGTGTGCTGGAGGGAGTGTGTTTGATTGTTGTTACTATTGGAAAACATTGTTAATTTAATCTGGAAAACATCATGGATGAATGATGTATAACTTGTAATAATGTATTGAACAGAACTCCCCTACATGCCATGTGCTATATATGATCACTCAAACATTTATATAATGGGAGGCATCAGCTGGGTGGTGGTGGTGCACACCTTTAATCAATCCCAACACTCAAGGCCATCCTGATCTACAAGAGCTAGTTTTAGGACAGGCTCCAAAGCTACAGAGAAACCCTGTCTTGAAAACCAAACAAAAAATAATGGGAAGCATGTATACAACCATATGCACATATAATTTATTCCTGTGTTACATATATTACAGATGTATACATGTTAACTACTAAAGAAAACTATGTGCCCCACCCAGAACCAATGGGGAAGATTACTAAGATTCAAGGCAAAAGGCATGGAAACATGAAACCCTCAATGCATTGACTTATCACATGTATTCATCTAGGGAGATTATCCTGTGTTTCAGAACTTGGTCAAGAATTGTTCACTATTTTGAAAAATTATAAAACTAATGGTTAAAGTCATAAGTGAAGTACCTCTGTATTGGGCTGCTGATATGATGAGCAATTAATACTGGTACTTTAAATATGCAGCATGGACAGATTATGTCTTTAGTTTCTATAGATAGGCTTTATAAATTATTCAGCTTTTAAGTGTGTTTAGACTCTCACAGAACAGGAGCAGATGTAGTGGAGTATATAAACCATAGTCTTAGGGCATGAGATGCCAGATGGTGAAGCTATACATGATTCCACTGTGTCTATTTTGTGTTTTTGGCCAACAAATTACTTCACATACTTTTTCCGTACCTTATCCTGAAGCTCAGTCAACTTTTTGACACTGTAATAATTACCTGAGAAGCCTATGAAGAGTAAATATTTACTTTGACTTTTAAATTTGTTTTTGTATTTATGTATTTATCTTTTTTTTTTTTTTAATTTGAGTTTTTGAGAAAGTTTCTTTGTGTAAGTAGCCTTGGCTGTCCTGGAACTCAATCTGTAGACATGGTGGCCTTGAACTCACAAAGTACATCTTTTTCTTTGTTATTTGTGTTTGATTCATCACCTTCCTCCTTTTCTGTGTGTGTGTGTGTTGCTTGTGATGGTCCCAGGGCTTCATGCATTCTAGATAGTCTACCAACTAAGTTATGCCCAGCCCCTTCCATTCTTCAGTTTTGAAAGTGATTTATTAATCACCTCCTTTATTCAAGGCACTGTTATTGAGTGCTAATGTTACTGTGAACAAAGCTTGTCCTCAAATACTAAGCATGAAGAGTATGTCTTTAATTTTGATAAGTACGCTTACACGAGACATACTCTGATACTTTTTAGCTGTGCGATGCATTATTGCTAACCCTAGGCAAAGACACATTGTTATTCAGCAGATTGCTTTGATTTAGCCTTTCTGGTTTCCTCCTCAGCTCCTGGTGGCCACCATTCTGTTTTAGGTACCTTATATAAGGGGAATCATATAGTGTTTGTCTGTCGTAGACAAATTATTTTAGCTGTTGTTCTCAAGATTCATCCTTGTTACATAGAGCAGAATTTTTGAAGAAATATGTTTTAAGGAGGTAGCAAAGTAAATTTAGAATGTGTAAGAAATTCTTGATTGTCATGAACTGACTTATCTAATAGATGGAAGCGATGCATAACCACTAGGGATGATTGGAGTGGCTTCTTGTCTCCAAGCTCACTTTCTTTACTTTATATTTTTGAGATGACCTCACTATATAGCCCAGATAGAACTCTAATTCCTGTTTAGCTCAGGTTGGCCTCAAACCACAATGATTCTCTCTCATCTCTGCATTTTGAGTGCTGGAATTATAGGCATGTGTCTCCATGACTGCCTACTTTATCTGAATTTTTATAACTAGAACCTATTTGAAAAAACTAGTAGCTAAAGTTTCCACATTGAGACTAGAAAAAGAAATATTCGGTTTTTATTTCATTGACACTAATTTATGAAGTTCGTGACATAGGCAAATCATTTTTTCCCTTGAGCATCATTTTCCTTTGTAATCTATAATGAATTCTGTATTATTTATTGTCTGAGGCTAGAAGAACTATATTTTAAAAGTTGATACATTATGATTCTGTAAGCTGGCACTTTTATGTGGGAAGATACTTCTCTGATTGATTCCTAAGTTTAGAAAATAATTATCACAAAGGAACATGGTGTGCTTTGAGTAGAATGTAGTATACAGGGAATTTTGCAGGAATCTTTCACTAAAGGCAAACAGGAATTACTGTAAGAGACTGTCATTTAAAACTGTCCTATTTATTTCCCCCTTGATAGTACCATGCAATGATGTCTGTTTGCCTCCAATGAAAGACTTCCTTCATCTTCTAGCATTGTTTCCGGTGTGCTTCAGTTATTCTCTCCAAATGTTATTCTTGGATGCTTCAGTGGTGTCATCATTGGTCCATGTTCCTATGCCAGGAATCATCAAGAACCAGCAGATGTTTTCTATGAAGCATGAGATGTAAATATTTTAAGGTCTTTGTTGGAACTGATCAATACATATATTATAGCATAAACTAGTCAAACCCTAGGAAAGCAAGTAGGCATGGCTATTTCAATAAAACTTGGTCTATAAAGAAGACCATAGACCAGATTTAATTCACAGGATGTGATTTGCTGACCTGTGTGGCCTATATATATTGAGAATTTGGATCACTGAATTTATTTCTGCCTAAATAAGTTGGGAAGCTAATGTTCTAGGTCAGTATACATATTTTAGGTGGTACAAAGGAGAAAAACTTCACTTTACAGATGCTGCAGGGAGGTAGCTTTTTAATGCTTTTGCTCAAGTGTCATGTGCCTGCTGATCCTCAGGGTGGCAGAGGAGTAATAGTGTGTTAGACACGAGGTTCTTTCATCATGAAATATACTCTTAAGAACTGTCACATAGGGGCCATGAGTAAGTGACACGTCCTACAGTGTGTATCCCATCTGGGATTTCATTTTCCATTTGGGTTAGATGGGCAGGGAGAACTTGCTGAGCAGTGTGTCTGGAAAGAGCAATCAGTTCTACAAGATTGTCTTTGAGGAGTTATCTAGGACCTGGATGTGTTGGGTCTCATTAGTCAGGATTAAGTACTTAGATGTATTTTTTCAATGAGGTCATTATAAGGTAAGGAATTCTGTGCTATAAACTAAAAATGAAAACAAAACCCAAGGGGAAAATAAGGAAGTTCGATTTGTCTCTCTGAAGCCTCGTGTTCTCTCATGATTATAGAGCTGGGTTATAAATCTGTCCCTTGTCTGCACAAACTGTTTCTGCTTTTTTTCACTCA